TTCAATATTGTGCCTATCTTTGAGACACAACACGCTTTTCTATTGATACGAAACGATTCTTTTTGAAAACATAAACTAACGGTACTGGAGACAAAAAAAGAAGCAGGGAAAAAAACTAATTCTTAAGTAGAAACAATCAGAAATGGTCTGCCATCCAGTTAACGTACTGGCGGGAAACTAGAGCGACATCTGTCAGAACCTGATTGGCTTACTATGCATGTCCAATTTCTTTAAAGCGCATTATATCCGCTAGTACAGCATCGTATAAATTTATGCTTATATCACGTTAGCAGACAGACGATGTAGCTACGGCGTTTATTGGCGCTGGCTAGGTTCTGACTGATTCTAGGTCAAACTGTATGCTGTAAGAATAGGAAATAATTTTTTTTTCTATTATTTCTTTATTTTGTGGACGGAAACATGGCCGATATTAGGCTATAGCTACTTTTTATCGCGTTATGACTTCCATACAACTACTGTATAGCGATTCTATAACACAATAGCATAGAAAGCAAGAGACAATTCATGAGCATCCCCATTTGTCGTTCGTAACTTTCAGACATGGATATTGGCAGCTTTTTGGTACCCAGTATGAGATAACTATGTGTCGTTTAGGAGCATCGCCAGTCAACGAGTACGATTTTAGTTTTCCGGACCGTTATTCTAAGTTGCTTAAGAGAACAGTGTCAGTCTTCCCGGTGAAGTTACCCCGTCGTGTAGAGTGCATCAGCGAAGCACAATCAATTATTGAAACAGCTTTGAGGTTACTGTTACGCATCGTTAGATGCACAACTTTTCCTCGTCATGGATAACAGAATAGGGAATATGAATTTATAATGTTTCTACGGGAAGCCTAGACGAAGAATGACGCGCTAGAAAAATTACACACGTCTAGACAACCTTGAGCATAGCTCCCGTTCGTGCTGCTAATAGTTCTTCTGAGCATATTATTATAGGGGCAAATCATCTCTGCTGTAATACACGCGTTCTCATCGTATTTGAACTTTTGAAGAAGTACGTTTAAGTAACGTATCGTAGTAGTGTGTGTAGTGGGGTTGGTAAACAGTCTCAGCATTTTGTCTTAGAGAAAAATTAGCCGGGGTTACCGTGTACACGGGTATAGCTAAGAAAAGCTTATGGTGCCGAACGTCTAAATAAAGCACAGGATAAAAATTGCCATCGTTATTTTTATAGGACAAGTGTTTGGCGTACAGATATCACGAGAATCTTACGATTTCGACAATTTTGATAGGCAGACCTGGCCATGTATTTTGGACTCACTCCACCATATGAATGCTATCGAGGCCGCTTCAGACAATCCAGTACAAAGAGTCCTCACCGACTGAATCGGTGTTGTAGTGTGTTAGTCAAAGTATTATGCCATTACTCGGAGACACAATGAGCGTTCTACGTGCGTGAGCAAACTGGCAGATTAGTGCATGTAGATGCAAACAAAGTAGGTAATAGCTTACTGTCAGGCAGCTTAGGCAAGCTTAAGGCGAATTCATGAAGTGTTACCTATTCAGAGAATCTCTCACTCCTATACAGTTCTATGGCTCTGAATATGTAAAGTCGAGTATGCATTTTATAGACAATAACAGGTCATTGCTTATTAAATATACTGTTTGATATATCTAATAATAATTTTTTTACCATGACGATCTTTTGGGTAGTATCGTCGATTTCCAAGAGCATCGGACTCAAAGTGTCCTGCTCTTAACGGGGCGCATCTCTCTGCTAAACTTTTAGAGTCAATAGGGGAATATTCTGAAGTACTGTTACATTGCCGCTATGGAGGAACGTTGTTTCGTTCGAAATTTGATTTAATAGGAACCGTCGATTACGCTCGAGCGCAATGCACCATATGGCAGAACAACTGTAGCATTGGCTACCAGCAACGATTTTCTACTTAAGGGCATGTATCCCACATGCGGCTGAACCATTCCTAGTTATCCTATATATAGCACCATTGTCATTTCAGGGTAACAATAGGCAGTTACATCAAAATTGAATCGTGACGGTTATCCGAGCACGAAGTACGCTTTTAGTTCTGTCAAGTAAAGAGGAAGTTATATAACGGCTAGGTATGCAGCGGGGACGGCCATGCTCAGAATAGGATCGTTATAATGACAGTCGGATCCGACAGTTGGGATATCGGAAGTACTTAGTGCTTTGACAAATAATGACTATTTAGAAAGACCATTGCAAACAAGCAACGGTAAACGGGCCACCAGCTCTAAAAAATTATTTCTAAACTTGATCTTTGCTAGAAAACGGAACTTCGTTTGATTTCCGTAAATGAGCGCGTCGGGTTTGAATAGCAGGCATCATAAACAGGATAATCACTATGTAACTCTGCAGAGGATATACAATCTAATCCTTTGTGTATATACGCAAATGATAATTGTTATTTTGACGCGGCATTAGGAGGAATCGACTTGAAACTGGTCGTGGTCTACTCGTTACTAACTATGGGCACCAATTGTTACGAAACAATTCCACGATATGAAATTTTATTCATTATTTAAATTCAATTATACATAGAAAGGACGATCGAAAAACGTATGGGTTCTTTCCAGTGTTTCCCCATTGCGTCCTATGCTTTTAGTTGGTAAAGAGCGGAGTAATCTGCTCTAGTAGAAGACCAGGAATGCAGCGTCTGCCGTAAAGGCAGCATAAATTCGATCAATAGATCAACTGAACCAGAGGTAGATGTTTATGGTCCTTTACTACACTAGCTAGAAAAACCACAAATTTCAATATCAGCATACGTAGTTCTTTTATATGCCTGTGTCTCGGTAGTTAACTCGTCATAGTTTGATTAGACCTCCCAGGCGACTTGGTAACTAGGATTATGTAGGTAGACACAAATGTGTCAAGAAAGTACGTTGGTGATACGTTAGACGATCTAGTTCTGTTGTCTGTTTAACTGTTGCAAGTAGCAATCTCTGATTTGCTAATTTACAGGTTGAACTAAAGACAATAAACATCTAATTGATATGCATGGAATGAAAAAGTGTTATAGGGCGCATTTGAGTTTTTTTTACAGAGACGATTCAGCGAAAACGAGCGTTTGTGGAGACGGTTGCAAAGTGGTGTTTTTAGTTAGTTCCAAGGCCCGCCGACGCTTTCTCATCGAATAGTTCTAGGGGCTGTTGTCGGTGTTACGGCGATATAAAGATTAAATGTGGTACCATTACCGGCTCGTTCGTATCGTCACGGCATAGATACTTTGAATAAATAAAGGCACTTTTTACCACCAATTTATGCAGTTACTGCCGTAACGATTCCACGGCAGCGTCGCACACGATCTAACCACAGTTACGGAACTGTATTCTATGGATTGCTGTTGTGAGCTCTGATTAGATAGAATTCTTATAATGGGCGGATGTGGGAGAGAACATATAATATTTTAACTAATCTCTCGAGGTCGTTCTCGCGCCCTTCCAACGGCTGAGTCCTCGACAATATGGCTCCTGCTGAATAGACCTATGGCGTGCGTTCGTACCTATTGGAAATTCATTTAATGCAGAAAGCGTAATAATATAATTTATGCCATGTCAGTCGTCTTTAGAGTGAATTCGCGCTTTCGATTGAGAAATTTCTCAGCGGAAACATGTCCCTTTCGTTCATCTGACAATCCCCTTGATGGGCTTACGTCACCCAACTCTGCCGCTCCTGCACTTGGTCAAGACGCGTACTACTTACTGTTCAGTAAAATCTGTATCCTCTTATCAGGAAGATCACAAAAACAGTAACATGCACTCTTTAGATTCGTATTACAAACGAGGTGACCTATATCAAGTGTTTCGCAGCTGCACTTTTTATGATACTAAGTTGCCCTCTTTTGGAACGTTTTGACAAACGTTTTCTTAGGAACTAAAAGCTAAACCCAGAAAGCGTCTGTCTGATACATGTGAGATTCATTGTCGAATAACATTGAATAGATGTGGCCCAAGTAAGGTAACTTTAGCGGTCGTAAAAGCTGACCGTGGAAATATATCAGTATCACACACTAGATCAAGCTAGGTAAGTCACACGCTATCACTATCATGAATTAAGTTCTAATGAAATTATTCGTTGGCATCATCTAAAATGTATCAGCTAGTATCGAGAACTGTGAACTATATAAAATAGTCCGGCCTAGATATAATGTTTAACGCTAAGAACCTGAGTTTTTTTGCCTAAGCATGTCAGAGGTTCGGTTTAATGTAGCTAATATCGATTGGCTAACGTGCAGTTAAATATTGTTGACAATATATTCATATTTCATAGATAAGGGGGACTGTAGATAGCAATGTGTTCTGTTCCGTACGATAACGAAATAGGTCTAATAGGCTATTTCATCCATGCTAGCTACCCTGGACACAGCCGTGTCCGTGTTTTTCAAAGATCGTAGGCCGAACGTATGTTTTAAGTTTTACACTTCTCCATCTAGGGCGCCTTTCAACATCCTATGAATATTGTCCTATTATTTGCTATGTAAACGAAGCTATGTGTCAATGTAGCTTTGTGCTGTGCCTATAGTAAAGTGAACGAAGTCTTTATTTACGCATCCTACTGCTGTGTTAAGCACACGAAGCTCCTGCTTTTCGCAATGACCGTTATATATTTAATGAAGTTTCGGTGAAATGTTCTTTCTGTGGGCTTCTCATCCGACCACCTAACCGCTTATGGGGCGTAGCAATCTCAAGGCACTGTCATGTAAAAAGGGTGGCTCTTGCTTGCACAAAATCTAAGAAAGTGTTGGTAGGCGTTATTTTTACGCCATTATCCAGTTCACAACACACTTATTTGTCTACCTAGTTTTGTACTAGCTCATAGGTGACACATAATGATAGCACGTCAAAACGCATAGCCCGTAGTCAATGCTAATTTTCTCACAAAATCCAATAGAAAAACAAAAAGAACTTTCTCTCTATACTTCAGTTCCATGCATAGCCGGTCTCTTCAACGTCGTATCAAGTACTTTTTGCAGTACCTATCCTACGAAGACGTACCTCGTTCAGGCATCTCACATAACTCCTGTGGTGTGATCACTGTTGAATTCACGTTACCTTCTTAGGTTTTTCTCGTGGTCACGGGAGTACTTTATTAATTCCGAACTGCAAATCTAACATCATATTCACCTAGCGTTTGGCCTCCATATCTTCAGCCAGAAGAAGAATAAATGAATCAGTAATAACAACAGCGCAATGCAGCGAGATGACGGATTCACAGATTTACAATGACGCTGAGACGCGGAACGTTAACTATCATCATTTATAACTAACTATTTTACACAGTGAATGAAGATTCAAGTAAAAATTTATTTACAGGACACTCTTATGGTTCACCTTCACATACGCGCTGACACACGCACACACGCAGCACACACACACCAGTTAATCACAGGACGGCTTCATTAAGTTAAAGTTTTTTTTTTGATGACGTTGTCCGACGCTTAAATGTCAAGTAAACATATCTCATCGTCTTGCAAGGCAAGCTGACTGGGACGCACATCTTCCGCCAGCACATCGACGTACCTGCTCCCTTCGATTAGAGTATTGGCAATATTGTTCCCTTGCATTACCACGAATCTAGACAGTCCTGCCACGAGTGAAGAAGTGAGCAGCATCATCAATCCAGGCGATAAAAGGGGAAAAAAGACGATTTTTTACTCATCACAAATCTTTCTATTGGCTTATCTTACACTTGTGACCATATGATCCCACAATGATTTCCTATGCCGCTGTGAACATGGCACACCCCCCCGCCCCCCGCCGGATTGACAATGTAATTCCTCACGCTAGCTGTGCTGTCGGTTAGGGAACATACTGATACCGCATATATTCCTGAATGTACGAAATTTCGTCGTTCAACTGGCCTGCCGGGTTTCCCGGTAATATGGCACAGTAGTCACACCGTAATACTATCAAAAGCTCTGCATTGCACGTAACGCTGCTATATTTCTGCTGCTTTCGTCTCTTTGCCTGATGACGTTGAATCACGTTTGTGTAGCATAAACTTAGCACGTGACTAGAATGGTAGAAGATGAAATATGCGACAGCGCCGCTACGATTTTTGCTCGGTGAACAAATATGAAACACCTATAGACCGGAAACACAAAGCTGTCCTGCACCTCCAGTCAGGAAAGCTCAAGAACGGAAGTCTAACATACGATGTCGTCCGCCCTTGCCGTTTCACACTGATGCTGCATAAGTGTATGTGTCCGCGCGTGTTGGCGATGCGCGCTGACTATTTCATCGACATGAAGTATTAGACTGAGTGCAAGATGTCAGTAGCTTTACTTGGCTTTTGTCAGCTTTCCGTTGGAAGCCGACGTTGCTTTGCTTTTCAGCCTATGGAACCAGTCAGTCATTACATGAACATCTCCTACAACAATGCTCGTCGATCAATATATCTGATGGGATCAGTCCGTTACAATCGTCGCCTGCTGTCACGCTACTAGGCACTTCCACTGTCTCTGGTATACAGGTTCCGAGGCTGTACGCGCGGAATCGTCACAAAACTAACTTCCTTCTTCGGTGTGGCACGCTTGCAGTAGCAGCAGATCTATGTCGGTTAGTAGATGATGGACGGAGCGACTCACAAAAAACCACCGGTCGCCTTCCTGACCGTCAAACTATTACTGACGCTGTCGCCGTTGCTGCTACAGAGTCTCCGCGAGCGACGTCGGCAACACTCGAACGTCGTTCGTCGCTGGCGCACGCTCGCAACTGCGCTGCTGCTATTGCCTAGTGCGATTACTACGACGACTGCGCCTGCCGCTGCGGGTATCAGTGCGCTTGCAGCGTGAGCCAGTCGCTGGCGTCGGCGCGGGTGCGAGGTTTTTTCCGCTGCCAATTTTACCTCTCCGAACTAGCTGCGAACGAACAAACGCCAGTGGCGGTGGCGGCAGCAGTGGTTAGACAGCTTGCGAAGACGAGCGCGTATAGTACTGGCGACCAAGCCGTAATAACATGGTACCAGATGGCAAGCGGGTGGCCGGCGGGGGGTGGAAGGGGCAGTTTTCGCAGTCGTCACAACCACCATGCCCGTTTGTATCGTTATTGTCTCTCGGTGCTTCTGAATGCTTTGCCCTACTCGACAGACAACGGTAACTGAGGCTGCTGCAATGGGACAAAAGCAAAACAGACGGTCTTGGCGTCAGCCATGCTCAATAGGCAAGGAAAGCAGCCATGTTGATAAAACCGGCGGACTAATGTTGTTGTTGTCGCTGTCGCTGCTGTTGTTGCACGCTATTGTTGCAGAAGCTAGTATAGACACTGACTGTTGATGGCTTTGCTGACAAAGTTTCACAACAGATAAATATCAGTCGACACTCACGTGCACTAAGCGCCTACTTGACTGTCATGATGTGACAACATTATGATGTCGTTTTTGGGGGGTTCCGCAGGGCATCATACTAAGTATCGTGCCAGCCTATCTGACCAGCATGACTAATGTTACAGGAAGTCTAACAAGAGAATCGTCGGAGCGCTAGAAGCTGCGTTTACGTTATTCTGTTTGTAACTGGCGATAAATATCAACAAGCTGTAAAAAAAACCATAGTTATCATTCGTGTTAATTTCAGGGATTAGTGTGACCAACGTGCCGATACGCTATTCTGTAACTGGACCATAGACGATAAACGCATATTGTTTGTACGTTATATGTTACAAGCGTTACAAGTACAAAGTATCGAGACGCACGGCGTAAGTAAAATAAAAATCGTACATTTTATCGTCACTCAGGTAATGTAGAAACTTTGTACTGTGACCGTTCATATATTTTAAATAATCTAATAGAGCATTTTAAAGAAAGTCTACTTTTCGAGCTCGTCATCGTATTTACCGACCTATCGGTCTTTTTTTTGCAGGCCCAATGGCATGGTAAGATGTTCGCCAATCGCTTCCGAGCTATGATCATTAGTAAGTTGTCATTCGAAGATCATTCAAGTATATTCAAAGTCAGCACCGAGAATCGTCTATTTATCTGCCCCTGGATGTTAATGCCAGACCTCGTCACACTGAAATCTGGCTAGATGATGACGGCCGGAAGCAAAGCCAAAAAGCTTCTAGCTGCTGCCAGTCATGATGAGAGTATCACTGCTTGTTCTCAGGGTAACATTTAGGCAAAAAATTGAATGTGATCCGATGCGGGCAAAGTCATTGCACACTGGTGTCTATAATCTGCGACAGAAGAATACTCGTTGCTATAGACTTTTTACCAATCGAATTGGATCTATTAGTAGGCTGCAGAACTAACACAGTCCTATATCTGTCAACGACTTCCGTCTTAAGGCTGATGACTATAGCATCTACAACAGGCTGCCTATCGCGAAGATAAGTATGTCAATAGTGTGCCGTGGGACGACCAGGGATAAGAAACTGCCACTTATTTCGTTTGCATTTTTAATAGATGTCATTATTAGAGGACTTGAAATCATAATTTACTTAAATAACTGTCAAAAGAAATTTGTTGACAAATTTTCTAAGTAACAGTTGATTTTATACCCTGACGTTTGCGCGATGTCGTCGTTGGCCTACCCTCGTCCTCAGGCGATTTATCTGCCTGTCCGAGGTATTGCTGGGTGGGGCTTAGAATTGATCATCATTAAGCAAAAAAAACTAATTGCACAGCAACAGCTTCCCAACACCGCGAACTACTCTTCCGAAGTGTGAATATAGTGAAATTGACAGCGGCATGAACGATTTACTTATTTTGCTTCAGCTATTGCAGATAACGGACGTGACCTCCATGCTTCGTGAGGACGGTACTACACCACTTAAGCTTCAGTGGTAAAACACAGAGTTCCCTTTGTGACGTGTTGCCATAATAACAATAATAATAATAATAATACTAATAACGACAACTTTTTCGTTCAATCTGAAAAGCCTTGAGCGTACATTTGAATAATTTAGCCAATTTTTTTTGTAAAATGCACAGGATCATGGATTCGACCATGTGAAATTTAAAATGCATGTTTCTATTTTCCATTTCGAATTTGTTAAACATAAAGGTTGGTTGCAGCAATCCCGATACGGTAACTTTGTCGTCCTGCCATTCAAACTCATTACCTTGTTAGAGGAATTTTATATTTTAACTACCTACACTTCTGCCCTATTATGTATGCTTTTATTACGTTTATATCATCGCATAGCTTAACTATTACATCATGGTAAACAATTACGTTGGCCCCTTGTCGATTCACGGCTGGTTCATCCATTGCTATTGTCTCAAGACGCAGCCGGCGGTCTATCCACACGAGATCTACTGGCTTCCCTTTGAGCCTAGTCGGCTGTAGTAAGTATTATCAAAACGAAGCGGAAAAACAATAATATTAATTAAGCAAGAACGTTGTAAATTCATATGTGATACATTTATGACCATCATAAAGTAAAATTTTCTATTTGTGTCATCGGTCGACAGTTTTATAAAAAAGGAAGAAGCGGTGAGTTGAAAAATTGTTGCAAATAACTGGTGGGTAAATAGCGACCCCGTAGTACATCAAGGATCACACTAGGACGTTCAAGTTTACCGAGAGCGAACTGTGCTAGCCTATGCTATGGTGATGATAAAACCGGCAGTGATGTCAGGACATCCAGAATTCGAAAAACGGACCTAAACGGCCACTATTCGAGTTAAGTATTTGCAGCTGTTAAGGTGTATTTTCAATTTTCAAACTAACCTGATCAATGATGATTATATTGGTTAGACTAATGCTAAAAATGTTATATACATATACAGTCAAGCAAAGCGCGTGTAATAAACTGCTACTTTCTACACAGTTAAGGAACGTTCATACACAAACGCAAGTTACGACTGGACTACTTACAGGTTTCTTCAAAATCTGCAAATAATCGGCTTTTTCTTGCTTGCTGATTTCTCTGTTCTCCCTGCCTTCAAGCCACAGCCAAGATAGGACCCTGAATTCGTATACACAGATCAGCATATATATATATAACTAATATTTAATATAACTGCAAGTAGCTCACGTCGGATGCTTAACTTCAATTATTTTAAGCCCACGATTAAATTCACTTGCGTAGAAATATAATGGAACAACAAAAACACGAAACTTACTGATGCGACGACGAAGCTGGTATTGTTACACATCATAGACAAACCCTCAATTTTTTTCTATGTCACTGATGCTTGACTTCAAATAAAGCTCTAGAATATCCGCCAAGCCCAGCGCCTCCATTCGTTTTCTATAATTGTAGTGAGATTCGCACTTTACCTTAAGCAGCGAAATGAGTTCCTGGATGTTATTTTACCGAGTGAATACGCTGATCCTATATATGCCTATTCACGCCTATTTTCGAGCAAGCGTTTGGCAAGCGGATTCTGTGATAATTATACAAATACACCGGTACGTTTTAGCACTATAGTAGTTAAGCGGGTCGGCCAGTTAAAGTAGCTCAAAGTGTTATTATTTTTTGTCTTTTCGAGCAACTAAATGTTTGAATTTAATAGGGTTTGCCAAAGAAGTTTATCAAAGTATCGGCTAATTGGTACGTCTGTTTGACTTCTAGCCATAATCATTCCACTGTAAAGACGCATGTTTATTATTAGAAGAGGCTGCCATCGAGAACGTTTTTCAGATAGAGTCCGCTAATCAATCAGCTGAAAACGAAGTCGAACTTACTATCAGCTGGCATAAATACCAGGCAGAATTAATGATTGTAGGCTGAAGATGCAAACTACTGAGAATATTTCGTTAATTTTTCAAAAACATTGGATCTTTTTCTATATGTCAGCTTAGCAACCATCTCAGAACCATCTACTCCACTGAGATGTTTCGCATAGATCTAGCGCTTTCAAGCCCGTTCATCTCCTGTCTTTTACGCTCCTTACGTAATTACAAGTGTAGCTTACTATTTTACCCGAAGTGCTGCAAACCCTACTTGTAGAATCGGCCTAAATCTTTTTGGCCCTTTTCTATATTCAGACAAAGAGAACAACGACAACAGCCCGTTATGGCAAACTACTCAACTTGCAGAGCTCCAATGTAGCAATTAGTGCTCATTAATACTAATCTACAAGTAATTCTACAAGTTATCTTTTTGAGTGACTATCCCGAAGAAAATCGTTGACTGTATCTTTCTATAGTTACACGTTGTCATATATACGTCATACATCACATTTGCGGAAGCATGAAGACACACTAGCGTTAGTTATCGGCTATTCAGCGCTAATTTTATAAAACAAGGAACTTTCAAAACCGTTTTACAGTAGTCTCTATTAGTTGCCTTCGTGGAACAAGTTGAACGAAGCGTCGCCAGACGGCGCATCTGCCCTTTTGGGAACAATGGTGAAATGCTCTACTTACGTCCACCAGCATTGGAACGTTCTTGCAAGACGCAAAGTAAGAGATATCAACCACTTAAGTAGCGCGTTAACTGATCCGCAGTCACAAATGACCCGCGCGGCACCCGCCAGTCTCTAAAACCGCTCTACGACTAATGCCGGTAGCGCGGAACAAGCTTCTACCGGGCTTCTGACAGACCATTCAAGATGGACGGTGAATGCCGAAAAAATCATCACTTCGCTATTACTGATGGCTATGGCATGCCTTGCAGCATGGTCTCCTATCTTACCAGTGGAGAGTACTTAGGGAGATGCGTATTTCATTTAAACTCCTGATCGCGATCTGACCTTAAGCAGACCAACAGCGATTAAAGAATAACGGTACGAAAAAGCGCTTCTGTTCGAAACAGGCCTGCATATATAATGAAAATACTAATTAAGTTTACGTTCTTGCAGCATAAATCAGCCTGTGGTAGACCTACATTTTCATTATAACATATTTTCGTCTGCTACATCCTGCATCGTTCATTTGTATCTACAAAATGACTTGCAAGGCTTAAGACATCTCAGCGCTAACCCTCTTGCTTACATAGAGAGCCACTTGCACTTTCTCAGTAGAAAAAACCCTAATCGTCTGTAAACAGATGCAGAGAAAGCAATACAGCTGATATTTCTTAGAAAGAACATCTTTCATTCTCAATATTGGGCATTACTCCTCGCGTGATTGTTGAGCCGTTTTTTTTTTTAAGTTAACTTCTATAACGATGCTGATCTGCAAGGAACTCGTAAGAACATAAATCATCTGTAAGCTTACAATACTCATGCTAATGATAATAGACTTTTTTTGGCTTTTACAAGTTTTGAGATCTTATCGAAGAAGTTCACAATTTATCCCAGCGTATGGAACTTCTCATTTTGAACAAAAAACATGTTCTAATTAAGATTTTTCAAGTTATTGAGGACGTCGGCTTAATATGCTCGAGTCGTGTTGACTGTAACTTCTGCTTGGGCTGTACTTGATGGTTTTTCCCATAGATAATCAAAAGCAATAGTAATCTAAAATAAACGATGCGTAGTACGTACACGAAGATACATTAATGTTTGTATTTTATTATCTGGTGTTTTTTTTTCGTATGCTCTCAGCAACTATTGCTAACATATAGTTTGGTATTAAAATTTATGATGGGTTCGTTTTGAGAGACTTTGAAATGATTTGTCATTTCGAAGTTTTCCAACATAGAATATCGCTTTTATAGAAATCATTACAGCATAAGAGTCTGGCAGATGAATAATGGTCATTTTTTTTTACCAAAGAAAAATAAATAAAGAAAATTGGCTTTTTCGACAGGTATTGTTTGTGCTTCTTAGTAGCGAATGAGAAGGGTTATCGAGCTGAAACAAGAAAATCGTGCTTAGAGGTAATTATGCTCAAACCTAAGATATAAATATCAAAAAAATCTAGCTTATGCAAAAACAGGTAATGCCTTATGGAGGGTATGTTTCTGGTTAACATCGAAAAACCTATCGAATGAAACAGATTGCGGGCTATAACCTCCGTAGAAGCAATCAATATTTGTGTTAAAAAAAACGTTAAAAGATAAAGCAAGTCTGACCCAATCACCAGTTTACCTTTAGCAGGTCAGCCAAGAATGTATATGTGCGAGCTTTTTCTTTAGGCCAATTTTTATCGCAGAAATTCGTAAAAACAATTCTACACTTATCTTGAATATTTATCCACAGACACACACACACACACACACACGACAAATGGACAAAATTAAGATCCATCCCAAACGAATATGAAAGCGATGATTACGAGGAGGTTTATTTTAATTATTATGATTGTTATTACCATGGTCTGCAAGAATTCACAAGAACATTTGTGGGTTTCTCCTTTTTTCTGCTGTGGGTTGTTTTGTACAAGCTCCGACACGTACATGTGGGCGTTTTATAAATCACCATATAATTATTATGGAAAATTATTGGCTTATTTGTGTTAATTGTTTTTTGACTTGTATTATTTTGTTGTAGTTATATAAAGGTGTAAATATATA